AAACAGGTGGCCAGGCCGGATGCAGGTACACAGGGCTGCTTAGAGTTTCTGAGATAAGCATCTCTTAGGGTCAACGGGCTTCACCGTGAGAGAAGCTGTTCTGGCAGAAAGGCTACTACGGTATTTCCAGGGAGAATAGGATCAACTGGGGCTATTCGGCACAAACCATAATCCTCTCCTTGGGAAGCAAGATGGGAAGCAAGATAGGAAGCGGACAATTAGAGTCATAGGAGGGAAGGAAGTCCAGGAAACGTCACCTTACCATTTTGTTTTTCGGTATTGTGAGATCTGATATAAAACCTAACTGGTAAGTAGGAATGTTAAGATCACAGCACGAGCAGCTCTTACTTATATCTGAGTATGGAGTGGTTTGAAAGCAATTTCATATGCCCGTAATATTTCTCCAAAACTTACCCTGGTGGTGTCCATCTTGACACACCCTCCTCCCCATCAGGAAGGGTCGAAACTAGGATCACACTCATGTATGTCTTGAGCTTCCTCCTAATAACCATGCAGCCCTTCTAGTTCTAACGAAGTTTTATTTTTCGCCTTGGAGCACTAAAATTTCCAGAAAGAGACGGGGCCTTGCTTCGCATCTCAACAAGCCAGCTGGGGACCAGCAGAATCGGCAGCACCTGGGAGTTCGTTAGAAACATAGACTGTTCGGCTTCACCCGGACCTGCCGGGTCAGCATCTGCTTTTCACAAGGTCCCTGGGTGAGGGAGGCACCTTCATTTTCATTGCCTAAGATGCGCTGTAAAGCAACGTTGTTTAGATTTAACTTTTTGGAAAAATCTTTGTTTTTATTTTTTTTGGTGCGGAGGATTCATTAGGTTTTTTTGACTTTTCACTTAATGTCTAGGCCCATTCAGTAATTGATGTGGGCACACGGATAATTCCTAAGGAAATAGGTGGCCTATTTCAGGAGGCCTTTTCAAACCAGCGCCAGGCTGGACCTGCAGAATCTCAGTTGCAAATGACCCACTGGACTTTCTCCCGCCTGTGGAGCTAAGCCTGCTCCATGAGGATCCTCTGGGGGTTGGGTGGAGTTCCAGGGGCAGTGCCGGTGGCTGTGGGGCTTCACACCTGTCCCAAGGTGAGCAGGTAACTAAAGTACTTATTGTTTCCCAGGGGTGACAAAGTGCAGGGGGAGGACATAGGTTGGCTGTTTGTTAACCCCTTACTCTCACTTACGGCAATTTCCGTGCCCTCCAGCACATCTGTGTGTGCTGCAGGTTGTTGTAAGCCTTCCGGAATCCCGAAGATTCATCTTTTTAATCATCAGGGAGGAAGAAACGGCCTGCCTTTATTACCGTCTAGGTCAGCTCTCGGAACCAGCGGGCTGCGGACCCCGACAGCTTTGCAGAGCTGTCTTGAAGGCTTCCCCCCTCGTCTTCTATTCCCATGGTAACCCTCAGGCAGGGGGAAGAGGGACAGCAAACCACTGAGAAGCTATTTTTAGATTTCTGGCCAGATGCTTTGACAGATCTATGGAGGGAAAGAAAATGAAGCAAATGTAGAAGAGGATTTTTTTTTTTTTTTGTCAAAGACAATATCATTTAAAATTCATATTATAAAACTGGAAAAGACCTTGAGAAATCATCCAACCTATCACCTATCACTATCTCTAGGAAGACCCACTTCTAAATCATACTAAAAATTATACAATAAGACTTTTTAAATTTTTTTTTTTTTTTACAGACAGCATCTCAGCATGTTGCTCAAGAGATCTTTCTGCCTTGGACTCTGAGAATGCTGGGATTACAGGCGTGAGCTACCGTGCCTGGCCATAAGATTTTTTTAAGAGCATTTTACTGAATAGTGTATTCTAATATATAAATATATT